CATGTTACCAAAGCAAGATGAGACATTATTGACAAATCAGAAATATAAAGTCATGTATAAAACTAACTAGTTTTTATTTTTCACAAGCGTTTGTGTGCCCAAGCAATTCTTTTTAACAATCTGGTGTCTTCTGTTCCATGTGTCAGACATCAGGGATGGAACGCAGTGTCAGTATGGAAAGGCTGGAGTTTATGGTAGATTACATGTTTCTCATGTGGAAGACCTCAGATTCAGGCCTTGCTATGGCTGGGCTAAGGAAATCTCTGGCCTAAAATCTTGAAAAGTCATTGCAAGTCATTGCTGACAATACTGAGCTAGACTGATCAATGGTCTCAACCTAGATGAAGCAGTTCCCTATGTTTCTAAACATACAGCATAACCATTATATATGGTTTCCAGATAAACGATGGTATATATTTCTATTTAAATATATTGTAACATGGAATACACAGCCTTTTATTTTATAATTTAACCATTACTATATTGTGCGTGACCTATAATACTGTACACTGCCTTGGAGATCCTTGCAAATGAGGTTTATACATTTTAAAAAATAAATGAATGGCTGTCAGTGTTTACCAGTCTGATAGAGAAGGGATCTTATGTGTGCAAACCTGAAATATTCATTGGTAAAGTACCCATAAATTATTCTTAGTAGTGTCTGAGTGAGCTCTTAATGGGTAAAGTTAGCTTTCCATTCTAGTCTTTAAATTCACTGCAAGACTTGCTATACATATTTCACAATTCAGAGAGTATTCTGTGAAAGTTTGGCGTTTCACAATCGTAAGACAGAATTAGTCCACTTCTTTAGAGTACATGCTCACAAGTTTAGTATCGTTATTTCCAGATCTACATACTTTACTACAAATTATGCAGAACTCCTTCCCTTTTAATGCTTTGGTATTATAGATATTTCAAAAAACCTAGGCCTTGCACTCATAAACTTCAACACAGAACTATAGTATGCTGTGCTAGCAGCAATCTGGCCAGTCATTCACAAGGCATTTCTTTTGACAGTCCACTGTGAGTGGAACTATTCTATCAAGACAGGGTGTTTGTGTGATAGATGTATTAGATTACTTGCACATCCCAGTGACTTATGAAAGCACACAAAAGTTTGAAGTAAGGTTTCATGCTTAGAAAGCAATGGTTTCCAACCTTTTTCGAGTCCTGAGCCCCTTTGCTAATAGCCAAATAACATGTGACTACCTTGCCATATTTGCCTAAAAAGGTGTTTTTAATGGGGCAAAGTCATCTGTTCTCAGAACACAGAAGCTTTTTTCTCCCTCCCAAAGGGTTTGTTTTTCACACATACACATTTATTTATTTATTTAT